CCAGTATCACCACTCTCACCACTGATCCTGAAGGGATCATCTGTCCTGGATTCTCTGCGTTTCCAGTTCTTATCTGTACCAGTGTACATCCTGTGGTCTAGCTGGATTTGTAAGGTAGAATTGGGATCATGATAGTGGGGGGAGGAAGCATTTAGGAACTAGAGGAAAATTATATTTTTCATCATTGCTACCCTGCACCCTGACTGGCTAGTCTCCTCCCCGTGACCCTTCTGTAAGGGGATTGTCCAGTTGCCTACAGATGGGCTTTGGGTCCCCACTCTGCACTCCCCCTCATTCACAATGATGTGATTTTTTTGTTCCTTGATGCCTGATACCTGATCCCTTAGACACCTCGTGATCACACAGGCTGGTGTGCTTCTTCCATCTGGGCTTTGTTGCTTCTGAGCTAGATGGCTGCTTGTTTACCTTCAAGCCTTTAAGACCCCAGAGGCAGTATCTTTTGGTAGCCGGGCACCATCAGCTGTCTTCAACACATTTGCTTATGCACCCGGTACTTCTTTTTTAAAAGGTGTGGCTCCTCAGGTGGGGTGCGGGCTGATTTAATGACTCTTGGGGGAGGGGGCCCGGCAAGTGACAAATGCGTGCAGATGACGCCTGTCTCCGTGCAGATGCGCCCCATCCATGCTGGTCCTCTTCGCGTTGACCTTCAGAGCTCGCCGCAGCCACGGCATTTCCCCGAAATCGTCCCTCCGCAGCCGGGTCAGTGAGGGTGGACGGTGCTGGTGCAGAAAGCCACTTCCCGCCGGACCGGAGCCGGCGGCCTGGTGAAAGGCCCCCTGCGGCGAAGGAAGTGGCTCTGGGGCTGTTTATGTTGGCGGCGGGCGCGCGGGGGACGCGCTGGGCACACCCGACGTGGGCCGAGCAGCCCGGGGCTCCGCGCTGCCACGCTCGGGGCGCACAGCGGAGACCGAGGCGCCCTGCGGGGTGGTGGGGCGCCCCGGATTCTGGGCACGCGAGGGAGGGAGGGAGGGAGGGTGTGCCGGCCCGGGGACACTGCAGTTGGAGCCCTGGGCAGGGGCGCGAGCCCGCAGCGGTGCCTGGGTGGGTGCCGCTGGAGGTTGGGGACGCAGTGGAGAGTCTTTCGGGGCTGCCCCTAGTCGCCGTGCGAGGATGGGCCTGGGAAAGGGCGGCAGTGCTGTGCCTAAGGGTGAGGTGGCAAACGCCTGCGGAGGGTGAGATCAAACACCATCAGATG